CCTCATGTGACGGTCTGTTTTTTTTTTTTTTTCCCTCCCTCTTCCAGAAAACATGAGGGGCTTTGTGTTGTGCCCCTCATGTGCACTCTCTCCTCATAATTGACCATCACAGTCAACCTCACAATCTGTCCTCTTTTCCGATGTTTCAGTGACTGTCTGTTTATCACTCGAGACCATGTCTTCTGTCTACATCCCCTTCTTCTCTCTCTATACTTAGAAGCAAGGCGCCCCTCCTCCACCTCCACCTCCACCTCCACCTCCACTTTCCCCTCCCAGGGCAGTGACCTTTGCAGCAGCCTCTCCTTTTGCTGCATTTATACGAAAAAAAATTCTGCCTGTTTTTTTTTCTCTTTTCTTTTTTTTTTATATATAAAAAATCCGCCTCATGATGGGGCAGCCTCAGACTTATTTATACCAGCCAGATAACTCTAATCAGTATTTGGATTCCAATCTGTTTAGCAACGGTCCAATTGTGTGTGTGTGTGTGTGTGTGGGTGGGTGGGTGTGGGTGGGCGTGTCTATGAGTGTTGGTGTGGGTGTGCGTTTGGGTGTGTGGGGGGGGTGAAAAGGCTTGCTATTGATGGGTTAAACCACAAGTACACGGCCCCAGYSTTGCAGTCCGAAACTTGTCGCCACAAGAAAACGAGGCCGAAACATCAAACGCTGGGCCCGCCGTTGATATTTTCGATTGGCGGCCCCATTTTCGTTTTGCCCCAGAATTTGAGGTGTCAGGCCCGCGGCCCAGGTTCCCATGTACTGGTGGTTTAAGGGGCATGGTCGGTAGGGACGTAGGGAACAGCATAGTAAGTGGATCAGAAAGAAACAGCTTGCAAGTGACGGTTAAGGGCCTCGGTGCGTTAGGGCCTCGTTAGACCCTCCTTCGAAAGCCGATTTTTAGGAATTCGGCGTCATTACAGCACGTCCTTTTTCTCCAAATTCCTTGGAAAAATGTGAAACCCTCCCCGAGAGAATTCCTTGGGTTCCTCAGAATCCCCAGCCAAAACGTCCTTGGATTGTAGGGATCCACGCGAGGTCCCTTGGGCTCAAGGACCCACGATTGATGGATCGTTGTGCGGGGTAGAGCCGACAACAAAATTTGGAGTGGATGGTGGTGTAAAGGTCGTTTATGGTCCATCAGGCGGACACCGCCGGCCGCCAGCAGCCGACGGACCCCCAACGGCATTGTACCGTTACTGTTGGCGCGAAAATGCGTGGGGCGGTTCCTCAGCTCTGAGTTGCTTGGTGTGGCGGGGTTTTCCATGCGCGCGTCGTTGGGCATGGTGTCCAACGGTAGCAATTTTTTATTTTTGTACGACCGATTTGTAAGCAGTGCCGGCCTTCTGCAGTCCTCACCAGCGTGTATTGTCGGCTATTGACGGCCGCACGGGAGAGAGCTTTGTTTGCTGCACTCCTCGTCTCGTGCGATTCATGGCAGACGTCCTCCGGCGGGTCCCGCTCCTGCTGCTGGCCACTCTTCTCCTGCTTCTTGTCGTCTTGTTGCAAGTCTGTGTCGTTGTGCGGGGTCCTGGCAGCAGACGGAAACTACGAGTGGGGAGGAAGACGACGCTGGACAGGTGGTCAAAGTAGTTCTTGGATGGCACGTTCGCTGGTTTGTCCATATAGAAGTCCGTGCAGTCTATGCAGCCATAGAAGTTGGGGAAACCCTTCGCCTCGAACGCGGCGGGCAGAACGACCAGCCGCCGCAACCCAGAATGCCAAACAATCTTCTCCCGGTACATCCTCATAAGCGCCCGAGTCACGTCCTCCACTGCAATCAATCCTGATGCACGCCCTATGCCGAATGATGACGTGCTGCTCTTGGCGTCTCCCCGCTTGCCCAATGATAAAGCGCGTTTGCGATGATGTGATCTGGCATCAAAGGCACCTTGTAGAATGTCCCCCTCCGCTGCATATGAGGGGACTACGCCTTGACGGTCTCCCGGAATACTCTACGGAACATCCGCAGCTTCTCCTTACAGTAGCCCTTCGCCATGGCGTCCATCTTCCGTAGATCCTCCCATGTCCCTCCTGTCCTTCTCCTCATCCACCATCTCGGAGTCGCCTGTGGGATCACACCTGACGCCATGGCGCAGCAGAATTGCACAATGGATTCTGATAACGACACACAATCAGGTGCCTCCATCACTTGTTGCATTAGCTGCCTCTGCCTGCAAATGGACAGTCTCATCTTCAGGGGAGCTGTCGTTCTCTCAATGCGATAACGAATGGCAATGGTTGACACAGCTGCAACCACTGCATTTCTCTCTAAAGATGTCAATGCATTCCCACCGTCCTGCACCTCTCCCTCCATCTTCACGATGTGCAATGCGCAACTGCCCAGCACTCTTTTGCTCGCCGACGGTCTCGTTCCGTTCTTCACGTGGACGGGGATGGTGGCACCACTCTCCACGCTTCACGGAATCATGACGTGCGCGCTCAGCTATGGTGGGCCATAGGATTGTCACGGACGCCCCGAAGACGAATGTGGAACCCGTTAGCGACGTCGCACGGGACGACAGTTACAGTTGGTGGTACGTCGCCCTACGTTCCAATGTCCCCATATTAAGCCATGTCCACCAGTACTCCTCACAGACGTTTCGCTCGTGTGCACTCCAGCCGCCTGGATGCCTCCGGTGCGGATGTGTCACAATGAAGGTTTTGAAATTTGAATTTTGAACCGGGATGTTCTCGCCCTTTTTTTTTTCCCCAGCCCGGTACACCTGCCTGCCGCCGCCACTGGACCACGCCCGAGTACGCACAGACATCCCACCACGGTGACGGACATTCACCCCCGCGGCCGTGTATATGCGTATGAAATTGCCGGCGTGAGACCCCCAAGGGTTTTCCTTGGGACCCATTCAATTAGGACGCGGTGTCACGACGCCACCGAAAACCGTAAAATTTTCCAACTTGAAGGACCTCCTCCTAATTCCTGAGGATTTTCCAAGGAGGGTCTAATGAGGCCCTTACTCACCGAACGTTTGAAATGGCGAGTGATAAATACATCACATCTTTTCTTCATCTTCGGCGAATGGGAAGCAAGGTCCTATGGCGATGTCGTCTGTCACTGCCGTGCTATTGAACTGAACCACTGTCACCATCCACATGCATTCCGTGCGGAGGGATGACAGTCAGGTTAAACCAACAGTACAAGGCCACAGGTCAGCTGCAGGCCCCTCACCGGGACTGTCCGAGGCCGGAAATGCAGCGAAGGCCATCGATGAAAATTTATCAACGTCGGCCCGGCGAATGCGACAAAGGGCATTAATGAAATTTATCAACGGCGGCCCAGCCCCGAAAATTGAGGTGCTGGAAACGAGTTCATTTTCTGTAAGGCTGAAGCCATGTGTCTATAGAACTTTGAAAGCGGCCACGGAATCCTAAGCATAGCCAGCCAGATGCGAAAGACCGGTCCTGGTGACTATGCATAGGTCCTTGTGAAGAAATCTGACGATCACAATTGGATCATAGCAGTTGACTTTGGACCAAATTCGTCGGATTCCTCCAGGTTGCCAACCAATCCTGAGCATAGGGCCTGCCTCCACTTCTCGACATTCTGCATGCATTTGGATGCCTTTCTTGACCAGGTGCATTCAATGGAGTCCAACATTTTGAATGTACCAGGTCTACTTAGAAGTCCAGATACAGTTTTAGTGTTGTGTATTGGAGAGAGCCCCGTAGACATAGTCTACTTGGTTCTGCACCCGTGTTGCTTGAGCCTTTTGTATGGTGAGCTATGCCATGAAGCTAGGAGAGAAGATAGTAGAGAAGATAGCAGAACAGATAGGAGAGAAGACATGTTGCCTTGCTTTGACCAACACCAATCTCTTCCCTCTGGAAGAGTCTGACAAAATTACATGTTGGTCCGATGTTTGATGGCACTGCCCTCTTCTCATCTTTCATTCCGGAGTTGTTCGTGCAGTTTGACAGGGCATAGCAAGCTCAAGCATTGGTTGTCGATTATGGTAGGTTTTCTGCTAGAAGTGGCCCAGGTAACATGCCCCACCGTCTGATGCGAGTTTTGTCAGTGGTGGAATTGAGAGCATATCAAGTGGAATTGAGAGCATATGAAGTAAGAGTCGATGATGTTTTTTATATGAGGTCACTTGATGAATGGGGATCGTTGCTTGTCAGTGCTGGCGGGTTTCCTGCG